GTGGGACACTCTTGTAGGACACTCTTATGTGACACTCTTGTCGGACAAGTCTTGTGGGACACTCTTGTAGGGCACTTTTGTGGGACACTCTTGTGGGTCACTCTTACAGGACACTCTGTCAAACACTCTTTGTGGACACTCTTGTGTAGGAAACTCTTCTGGAACACTCTTGTAGGACACTCTTGTGGTACACTCTTATAGGACACTCTTGTGGGGCACTCTTGTAGGACACTCTTGTGGGACACTCTTGTAGGACACTCTTGTGGGACACTGTTGTGGGACACTGTTGTAGGACACACCTGGGGGTCACTCCTACAGGACACTCTTATAGGACAATCTTGTGGGTAACTCTTGTGGGACACTTTTGTTGGACACTCTTGTGGGACACTCTTGTAGGGCACTCTTGTCAGTCACTCTTACGGGACACTCTAGTAGGATACTCTTGCGGGGCACTCTTATTGGACACTCTTGTGGGACACTCTTGTGGGGCACTCTTGGAGGACACTCTTGTGGGACACTCTTGCGGGACAGTCTTGTAGGACACGCTTGTGGGTCACTCGTAGGACAAATTTTGTGGGTCACTCGTGTCTCTTGTGGGACACTCTTGTAGGACACTCTTATGTGACACTCTTGTCGGACACTCTTGTGGGACACTGTTATAGGACACTCTTGTAGGACACTCTTGTGGGTCACTCATACAGGACACTCTTGTAGAAAACTCTTGCGGGACACTCTTGTGGGACACTCTTGTGGGTCACTCTTGTAGGACACTCTGGTCAAACACTCTTGTGGGACTCTCTTCTTGGACTCTCTTCTTGGACACTCTTGTGGGACACTCTTGTCGGTCACTCTTACGGGACACTCTTGTAGAAAACTCTTGTCAATCACTCTTAGGGGACACTCTTGTAGGATACTCTTGTGGGACACTCTTATAGGACACTCTTGTGGGGCACTCTTGTGGGACACTCTTGTAGGACACACCTGTGGGTCACTCCTACAGGACACTCTTATAGGACACTCTTGTGGGACACTTTTGTTGGACACTCTTGTGGGAAATTTTTGTAGGGTACTCTTGTAGGACACTCTTGCGGGACACTCTTGTGGGACACTCTTATGGGTCACTCTTACAGGACACTCTTCTGGGACACTCTTCTAGGACACTCTTGTAGGACACTCTTGTGGGACACTCTTTCGGGACACTCTTGTAGGAAACTCTTGTGGGACACTCTTACGGGACACTCTTGTGGGACACTCTTGTGGGACACTCTTGTAGGACACTCTGGTCAAACACTCTTGTGGGGGCTCTCTTCTGGGCCACTCTTGCAGGACACTCTTGCGGGACACTCTTGTGGGACACTCTTGGGACACTCTTACAGGACACTCTTGTAGGACAATCTTGTGAGACACTCTTGTAGGACACTCTTGTAGGACACTCTTGCGGGTCACCCTTATGGGGCACTCTTGTCAGACACTCTTGTGGGTCACTCTTACCAGTCACTCTTGTAGCAACAGAATGGCTCACTTGTGGTATCATGAACGGCACGCCATACACTACAGAAGCAAACATATCACATGGCACCACCAATGGACCAATCATCCCGCTCACCAGCGACACGCCGCGTCTACGCCAGCATGTTTCGCGCTCTCCAGTGGCACGGCGCCACGCAAACACACTTCCTACCAAGGCCGCGCAAATCCCAATGGCACTGTGACATCACGAACGTAATTTCGCCACGCGGTCTGCCCATACACTAGAAGCAAACATATCATGTGATACCACCAATCATCCCGCTCACCAGCGACACGCCGCGTTTACACCAGCATGTTTCGCGCTCCCCAGTGGCACGGCGCCACGCAAACGCACTTCCCACCAAGGCCGCGCAACTCCCAATGGCACTGCGACATCACGAACGTAATTTCACCACACGGTCTGCCCATACACTACGAGCGTTTCGTACGAGACGTCCTCCAAAAGTCATGCGTACAGTCAAACGAGCGTTTCGCGCGAGACTTGCTCCAAAAGTCATGCTTCGAGTCTAGCGTTTCGTACGAGACTTCCTCCAAAAGTCACGCGTCAAGTCTCCAAAACAAGCGTTTCGTACGAGACTTCCTCCAAAAGTCACACGTCAAGTCTCCAAAACGAGCGTTTCGTACGAGACTTCCTCAAAAGTCACACGTCAAGTCTCCAAAACGAGCGTTTCGTACGAGACTTCCTCAAAAACTCACATGTCAAAGTCTGCAAAACGAGCGTTTCGTACGAGACTTCCTCCAAAAGTCAAGCGGAAACACCCATCGGAGCACACACATCACGCAGCCCTGCCAAGCAGTTTCGCGATTCCAGCCCCTCCAAACAACACCCGCTCACACGCCAATCCCAATGTCACAGCGACATTCACCTGTACCACAACTCACAACCTCACGATTCCCTGCACCTGCCACGAATCTTTCCGCGTCCACACGTCTAACGCGCATCCACACCTCAAAGCCCGCACAAAGTACTGCGCTTGCCACGAAAAGTGACAATATCATCTCATGCGAGCTTCAACGAAATTTGTACCACACCACACGTTTGGAATGATTTCGGCCCGTTCTGAGCACACTCCCATCCACCAAAATCGCCGCTTCAGCTGAGACTTGTCACGAAAGCAGAGCTTCGACGCAACACCCTGAAACGCAAACCCCAATGGCACGGCCACATCCAACACCGCAAAAACACCACTCTCCAAACGCTAATCATTGGGAGCTGCGCAGAAAACTGCGGATCTCACAAAACGCTGTGCCTGCGCAGTGAACTCAACCTCCATACTTCAACATCTTAGATTTCCACACGTTTCCACGCTATTTCACACGAATCTGACACGTCACCTTTCCATCCCAAACCCTCTCCAAAAGCTTCCCCCAATGGCAGTGGCCTTAGCGCCCTACTGCGGTCACTTGCGGACGGTTGCGAACGCTGAGACGACGCGTCGCGAACAAGGCTCTACCCCTAGACCCCCAGAGTTAAACGAGAACCCTTCGTTACGCATTCGGGAAAAAACACAGTATAAAGCACATCCGAAGGAACCTGCAATTCAAAAGACCGTGATACGGTATCACTTTTTTATAGTGTAGTTTCCTTCGGATGTTGATACAATCTGGCAATGTCCAATCTTTGGCTAGCGTAGCTGTCAATCTCAAAAATATATTCATGAACTGATTGTAAATCCAATGTGGCCTTGTATACACTGCTTGGAAGAGGGGAAAGAGTAGTGCAGCAAGTGCCTCAAGCAACAGCGCAATGCTCTCGTTGTCTGCAGCTCTCGCCAAGATTGTCTGCCCGGAGGCATCACGCTCCTGAGTGAAGAGGTGTTGAGTGTGAAAACCCAGAAACTGAAACACGATGAAACACGACCTGAAGGTCCGCTTCAAGTCTTCCAACCAGTGACAACAAGTGTCCGCAATTTTTGCACCTAAAGACTTTAGCTTCGACTCAGCCACCCGCAAAAGTTTCGGAGATCTCACGAAGTCATCACCTCATTCCGAGACACCAATGTCATGAGAGTAGACACACAGTTCGTTTTCATGCCACACACCCTGACAATCGCATGCAAGGACCCCTCACGCCAAGGAACAGAATACAGTACATTAATGACACCTTCGCTTCCAAGCCACGCCGTGCAGTTAAGAGTGCCTGCAGTGCCCTGGCAGCGTGGCTTTCAGCAGCATGGTGCAGCAGCGTCCAGCCCAGTCTGTCCACCCTGAGCCGGCAGCTAGCATGTTCAGTTCAAGGGAACAGCCGACAAGTCAGTAGATTCCGTCTATCCCCAAGTCTTTACAATGAAGCTCCCTCACTCTGACTTTCTCTCATCTGAGGCCTCCTGCAAATCCAGGTTCCGGAGGCTGCGTGCGAAAGCAAAGCCTACAGGTCGCTCTGATGACAAGTTCAGCTTAGTCGCCCAGCGGATCCTTTGTTCAACTCTCAGACTGCACGGATTTGGTCAGTGTAAAGGCCTTCAAAGAGAGTAGCTAGATCCACGACACCAATTGCGCAGTTTCCTGCCCTTCGCATGTGCTTGGAGCTTGCCAGCCGGGTGCCATCTTGATGGTTTGGCACACAATTCCTGTCGCATCTTATCTCCTATCTCTTGTTTCCCCTTAGCGAAGGTCACAAGGCGACAATTGCAAAGCCTGGCTCTGCACCTGGTGCCGCGCCGCGACGCTGCAACTCCTGAGCTGCAAACAGCGTCCAACTTGCTGGCCAAAGAAAACTGGACACAAAGAAAAACATACACATTATCCAACATGATTGTCCACAAAAGTCAAGCATCATCCAAACCAAGATGCATGTTGCGCATGAAATTCTCTCCTGCAAACGGAAGCATTGCTGACTCCGAAGCCCGACGAATGTGGCATTTGTAGGAGGACATGCTGAACAATGAATCCGAAACCAACCTCTCTCGCTACAAGCGACACACACACACACACGCACACCAAAAGAATGAATCGGGACAAGAAGACTCGTTGTATTTTGAGATAATGATAGATAATGTAATTATATCTTCTTCATCCGAGTGTAGCCCCTATCCAAGTTGTTCCGGGCTTGCAACCCCACTCCATGCACATCGCGTAGCAGAAGTGGACGTATCTGCCTCGTCAAAAGAACAAGATTATCAAGATTCAGGTGCGCTTGGACATGGAGTGAAAGGACACTTAAAGGTCTCGAAGGTTCCTTCTTTCTGGCCTGGAATTCTCCTGGGCCATCAACCCAGGAACGTGCCCATACGCTCAGAGCTGTGGGTGAGCCTGCCTGGGACAAAATAGTGCATGATGGAAAAGGATGGAAAAAGAGAGAACATGCTCACCGCACCTGGCAACCGCAGTGTCTCCATGACATGCTGTGCTACGAACGTCTGTCTTGCTTGAACATCACACATCTCTCGAACAAAGGCACTATGTCATAATACCATTTGGAGCAGCAGCTGGGCCTTTGCCATCCCAAAAACCGAAACAACCTTGCGACAGTTGCCGTTCGGTTTCACCTGGGTCTCCAAACTGCTGTGCACAGGCGTCGAAGCGCTGGAAGATCAGACTTGCAGTCTACTGCCTGCAACCAAAAGACACGAGGCCCACCTGGGAGAGACTTGTAGGCAGCTTTCACAGGCCCTACAATGTTTGCTTGTCAGTTTCAACGTCTCTATTCTCCGACTTGAACATTGGCTGCCTGAGGCTGTGGAGCATAGTTGCTCAACCAGTCCAGTTGTGTATGATTCTGGTCGTCCAGCCCAGGTGCAACCATGTAGGCGTGCACTTTAACCTGTCCTTGGTTCAAGCCAGGTGACATAAACAAACAGGAAGTGTCCAAAGGACTCTTGATTAACAAACGATGAGGGGATGAGGACATGCTGGTGCAACGTTTTGACAGAGTGTTATGGAACAACGTTATGGAACAACGTATCCAGACAAGTGTCGTGCCCAGTTAAATGGCAACGACAAGGCACCAATTGGCCACAAGCCACGGGTACAACCTACACGTTTCCCAGCACAGCAATTGCTGATGTCAAGTGCAGTGTTGAAGAAGCTTGGACACAACGCGTCGCTGGAGTCCTGTCATTGTTTTTCTTCCTCCTAGTAGCTTCTTGCTCCTAGTAGCGATGCCCTTTGCTCCTGTAGCGTCCTTGCTCCTAGTAGCGATGGAGCCCCTAGTAGCTTCTTGTTACTACTAGTAAGGCACTTGTTACTAGAAGCGATGCACTTGTTACTAGTAGCGTAAAGGAAGATCCGGAATTTGTCAAGTCCGAAGCTGCCACGGGCTTTGCCTGGAAGACGACGAACTGACAGTGCCAGGCTTCCAGGCTGAAGGCGTTGCAAAGCTGACCGAAGTTTGAAAAGCAACGGAACTGGAAAGGCCTCGTTTGCCGATTCAACACAATCCCAATATTTCCCAAATGCTTTACTTCAGGGTCCCTTGCTGTTCTTTGTCAAAGCCGTCCAACGTCTCCTTGCCCATTCAAATGACCACCTCCTTTTTTGGTCTTTAAAGAGTTGTTGTTGGCATTCACAGAGAGTCTGTGACTAGGCAAAGACAATCATCAAGCTACGGCCCAAGAAAGTATGCCTCGTGAAGAAAGTGCCAACAGTCCTACTGACCAAACCCCTGCCGCACAATTAATCTGAGTTGCTGCCCAACAGTTTTAAAACATGACAAGAAGATACAGGAAGAACAACAACTGAGAACTCTGCATTGAATCATTCATCTGCTTTTCCGATTGTGTCTTTTGTAAGCAGCTGGAAGGCGAGTGGCCGCTGAATTTACATAGACCAGGGTTGCATTGTGCCATGAGTGGCTTTCCAAGAAATCACCTGAAGCTTTCAAGGACCCAATAGCGTTCATGGTGGCACGATTGCGAACAAAGGACACAAGCACACGACATTCTAGCACCTGTGTGAAGGCTTGCTTGCCAAGTGTCCTTGCAGCAATGTCAACCGCTGTCGTGCAACTTTCTCCAAACGCTGGGCCACGCGCGAAGCAGTGGCCGCCCTCTTCCTGATTTTCAAGGCTGAAAAACAATCTCAGAAACTATCACAAATCACCAAACATGCGATCTCAAAAACCCAAAGAGTTTATTGTCCACGGTCCGCCAAATCGGTGATCGACTAGATACGATCAGTTTACTTCTCGCTCATCGAGACCAAGGCGGCCAAGAGTCTGTGAGAGCTCGACTCCTATAGCCTTCATAGAAGTCTCCAACACAACCTGAGCTGTCAGTCATACGAGCCACGCGAGGTAGCTTTGGCTCCTAATCGACTCCATTGGAAAAACATTTAACAATTTAAGGGTTCAAGCTCCGCAGTGTACTTTGGGTTTGACCGCTCGGGCTGCTAGGGGTATATATATACTTCAACAGGGGTCGTTAAGCTTGGTTCAGGTATTTTTGATATCATGCTTGTAGCAAGTATGGAGACCATCTAGAATCTATATATAGAATATATAGAAACCAACTTGCAGCATGCTTGCCAATGTGATACATCCTGATGACGTCCTTCATTTAGAAATGGGACTCCTTCCGACATGCCAAACATTCAGAAACTGTCCGTTCTTTGCCAATCCAGTCCCTGGGTGACATTTGTCGGTGTTGTCCTGAAGTGTTTTCCTTTCTTGCGTCGAATCTTCCAAGCCCTGTTCTTTGGAGTTTTGAAAGGTAACAAAACAAAATGATCAACATAACTGGAGAAACAAAAGCCACGAGCAAAGCCGCCTAGATTATGTTGCAGCAAAATGCCCGTTCGAACATGCACCACGTAGCAGCACAAAAACTGATTTTGACATGTTTGGTGGTTCGTTGGGCTCTTTTGCCTTTGGACACAACCAAAAAACTGACTACAGTGGGGGAGTTGCCCTGTTGGTTCCCCATGGCTTCTGATTTTGACCTGTGATCATGGGGTGCAAAACTGCAATTCTGGACATCAATTCATGTCGTGCCTGCGCGACGACTGCGCCACGACCAGAACCCAGATCTGCAAAGACATCGTCCCGTGTCACTGGAGCAAAGGAGGCCATGTAGTCCTTCGCACGAGCTCTATGGGTACGCATCTGAGACAGTGCTCAGTGTGTGGGAAGAAACCCAGCTGCTACATCTGAAGCCGTGGAGCGGGCCTCTGTCATTGACTGCCAAAAAGGAAGTCCCATGACCTCCGCTGCCTATTAGACACCCTTCTGTGAAAGATGACAGTCAAACCAACCTTGACGAATCCAAACCAGCACAACAAGGCAAGCCCACAATCTCCAAGGCCATGATTGCTTAAACACCCTAATTACTTAGCTCGCTAACAGTTAGGGATTATCTAGTCACTTGTTCTCTCGTCTCTTCTCTTTATTTCGCTCCAGCAAACGGCGTACACCAGATGGACGTACTTCGCCATAGGTGCCCGAATGCCCGAGGCTCGGCTCCGAGGAAGGCCATGGTTCTGAGGCAAAGTACTCCAAGACCTGCGCACGAATCAATTGGACACTGGCAAGCTGATGTAAACAGGTCAAAACCCACATCTTGTCATATCTTCTCAATACCTTGTCTCTGGTATACTCATGTGGACTCAGATCTCGATGATCTCGTCACGATTGCCAAGATGCTGCTCGCATCCTATTATATATGTAGTGCAGTAGTGCAGCATATTGCCTGTATTCGTTGGCCCAGGCAGTGACATGCGAAACTTGGACACAAATAACTGGAATTGGATAATGACTCACTTTCTGCGCACCTGCTGCACAGCTGTAGAGTCCACGGGGCAGTGTGCTTCAGAAAGGTCGAACAGCGGCATTGTAAGCCATTGGCCCTTTGCACTCCCTTGAGATGACTATTTTGTTATGTAACTATACAAACAAACTTGCCAAAGGAACCTTGAAGCCGGGTCGGAAAAGCAGCGCAGTTGTGGATGGTGTTATGCGGAGACCCTGCCACCCTCTGCATGTTTCACACTATTGATAGTACAGTAACATTCCATGTACAAGAGCCGCTTCTTGTGGTGATCCCTTGTTTCAAGCCAGAAGGTCAACCAGAGTTGTCGAATTCAACACATTATGCTTGGGTGTTCCACTGCAAACCTTAAACACGCATGCAACAGGCTCGCCCTGTTTTCTGCAAGCTATCTACGTCGGTCTGCGAAGTTCTTGGCTTGATGAGGAGTATCAAGTAAACATGCCTTCAGCACCAACAGTGGCTAGTGCGGCTAGTAGACTTTATCTTCCCAAAGATTTGATATCAAAGGCATTGTTGAAAAACAGCAGCAAATAACTATATACCACCTATTTCCTCAGAGAAGCAATTGACCAAGACAGTATGTCTTCAGCAGCAAGAACGTTTGCAATGTCTCCGTCTTACACTCCAATATTCCGTCAACTGGCAATAAAGCAACTTTTACAAGAATTTGCTTCTGTCTTCCATGTCCCAGCTTGTCTCTTCACATCTCTTCACCATGAGTCGAAAACATGGCGGGAGTCGCATGTACTTGACACCCTTGGGGTCGAAGCCAGGAGGCAACATCAGCTTGACGTGCCAAGTATCTGACGAAAGCAGGTCGAATGTGAAAAGGTTCTGGACTCAACTCGATGCGATCGCCAGAGCATACAAGAGCCAATACAAGAGCCTCCACTCTTGTTGCTGCCTGCTTCCAGCCTTATTCAAGCCGGTTCTGACAGCTGGCAGAAACAGCTACACCATGCTACAGCAGAATCAAGCAAGGCCGCTGGGCTAAGTCTCCATCTGCAAGTACGCTTCACCACCAGAACTGACTCCAAGGGCAGAAATACCTGCAAATCTTATCAGCAATTACATGCAAATACCGCTGATATGAACGGCTCTGACCCAGTTCGCAGGATTGCGCTGTTGCTCTCTTGATCCAAGCGGAGCTTTCTTGATCCGAGCAGAACATGCAAAAACAATCCTTGTTGTGTTTACCAAAGAGCAATCTTTGCCTTCATGATCATGAGGCAGCTGCAAATATAGCCATGCAGATCCTCTGCCAGGCCTCAGAACATTAACCTTGGCATGGAGTGTTTTACCGATGGACTGCCCTTTGCCAGTTTGCCAGTCTACTTCAAGTCTCGTGCGCGTCCAAAGCAAAATTCACAGCTCCTCCCCTGGACGATTCAGTGCAGCCTGTGGGTTTTGGCTCACCCCGCTGCAGCTGAACTGATCCTGAGCAATGTCTTGCTTCAAAGACGTTCAATCTATCACAAATACGAGCTCACCTCGCCTTGTGAATTTCAGGTTGAATTGTTGAACAAACCAACTGGCCTGGCAGCTTCCCCGGTGACTGGCCCATCACCTGTTGGCTGGCAAAGCGCAAAAGGAACAATTCTTGGTCGACCTTCTCTTGAACACGCACATCCACTCAAGCAATTCCGAATTTGGTCCAAAAAGGCTCTGTGACTTAACTCAGATCCAAGCTTTTCGGACAAAGCGGAAATCATTTGCTTCAGTTTCGACACCGAAATGCACACTGGTGAACGCTGTTGATATTGAGTTGTTTTGTACAAACATGCATTCAGGCAGTCTCAGGAAGTTAGCATGTGGGGATTAAAGTGAGGAAGTGATAGAGCTTTCTCGATGCTCAAAGGCAAGGCCTGATACACTAGTTCAATGTAATATACTGTATATATAAAGCAATATAAAGCGGTACATTGGCATGATCCGTGGTTGGTCCTCTCAAAAGCTGCAGTGACGACAACGACATCGTTGGTTCGACTACCATGTTGAGATCTGTGCAGCAACAGGAAATGAGCAATGTTGAGCAATGGAAATAAGTCTATGCTTCTTGGAAACGAGTCGCCGATCTTGACAAAGCATGATACCAAGAAACGATGCTCGGTAGGCTAGGAATAAAGCTGTTGAAGAGTCAAAACATGTCAAGACAATCCAAGGAAGAGATTTAGAACCTAGTGCTTTCACCTAGTCTGACGCGGGACATTACCTGAGTCTCGATGGTCTGTGCAATCTCTGCCTGGAGTTGGCAGAATCGGATTTGGACATGTCTTCGTGACTGCCCATAGGCGGAGCCACACTGCACCCGTCCTGGAGGTCAGGCGTGCCAGCCGTGCCGGCCTCACCTGGGAGATTCCGCGTTCTAAAAGAAACAAACAAAAACAACGCATTTTTTCCGTTGGCTCGCACTCTGGACAGATTTGGAGTACTTTGACTTGAGTCAAAGCTCTGACTGCACTTCTTCCATAAACAGCTATGGAATGTGACAACATCATCCCAAACTTCAGACATCCCTTCTGATTATGAAATCTGATTATTTTATCGCATGTTGGCAGGAAAAGGAGACACAAATACGTGGGGTATGGATGTAAAATTATAACACTCCTCTGGACACTGCACCCCAAAGCTATGGTCTTCCGTCGCGCAAACACACAAAAGCCCGCACCTATCGCCCTATGGCAATACCAAGACACAGTCTTGTGTACATTGGAGCATGTGGAAATTGCGAGACCCCTACAATCCATATTATATATATATATGTGCCCCCACAGTGTCAAGAAGAACAGCCTAGCTGCGGCTAGCTCAATGAGACATGCAAATGCAAAACATTCCATGAAGTTAAACATCTTTGTACCTGTGCATCTTGACTATATAATATATATATATATCGTTTTTGGTGAGGACCGTACCGCTTTCCATATACAACAAAGCCCTCAACATAGTTCAGGGTCACCCCCTGACTAAACACGTGAACCAATAATTTTGTCGGTCGGTCGCTTATATAAGTTCATGCGCGATCATCACCAAGTTAACGACTGTCGAATTGAACCGAGTGTTAAATCTGAGGGAGCTGCCGGAGACTGCAGACATGTTCCTCCAAAGGCAAAAAGGAGCAGAGCGAGGACGTACAAAATCACTGTCGCTCAAATATAGGAGCTACTAGTAGCTTCTTGTTCCTAGTAGCGATGGCCTCCAACCTACTTGCGATGGCCTCCACCTAATAGCGTCTTTGCTAGGGCCCTTGCTCACTGGGCCCGGCCCAAAGAGTCAACAGCCCAGAACCCAAACAAACTTTTGAGCGAACACTCTGCGGGTCTAGCAAGCTGTTGGACATGAGTTTCTTGACGTTTCTTGAACCAGCAACTTCATGTTGCAAAGATCTTGATCGTGCTGAATGTGTCAGGTCTTCTTATTGACTTGCACGTGGCTCGAAATGCATCGAATCAAACATGCTAAAAGGTTGTATGTTGCACAACGACTGTGCATGTCTAGGGGCGCAAAAAGTCTCTGCTACGTCGCAGGTATGAAAAGCGATAAAACACCTGGCATGTTCTCGCTATGGTCTGAGCCACGCACTACCTGGCGCTGGAGTTTGCCTCTTGGTTTTCGTCAACGTACATCAAAACCCTAAGTCGCTTTGTACTGCCTGCATGAATGTGTGTAGAAGTACAAGTACTGTGCAAGTAGCAAAAGGACTCGAGTTGAACCAAGTTGGGTTCGACTGATAAACCATCTCTTGGCTGTCATCTGCCCAACGATCATGGGTCTTCACCTTCTTCAAGCTCCTAAAGCTGCAGCCCCAATAAACATACAGTACTAAATTGAAGGCTGGTAAATGTTGCCTGTGCGAGGAGCAAGGCGCATTCTTGTACACCCACCAACATGCCTACAAACCGAGATTTCCCAGCGCAACGATGCGTATGGGTTCTCTGTGTTTTTTCCTGCGTGCACAGGGCAGTTGGTCTTGCAGGCTGCTTGTTGTCCTAGCTCACGCCTTGCAATCAGTTGGGGCTCAGTGCTAGTGTTTGTTTCAATAGCTGGATGCCCAAAGCAGGTGCAAAGCTGACACACACACACTTAGATTGTTGCTCGCAAGAGCTGGTATCAGTACGAAGTCCCCCTTGACTTGAAAGAACTGAATGGCGCAGGAACCGAAAGGCGAGGAAGTCCGTAGATTTGAAGGTGTTTAACAAGTTGTTGTGGTGCATTAGCGGCTTACTGCAAAACACCGTAGTAAACAGCTTGGTCAACAGTTCAAAAATGGGCCGCAGGTACGTCAGAGTGGCCAACTCTGATGTCACCAGATCAAATGGGCGTCTTCGTTGGTAGCGGTCCCAGCAGCAGCAGCAGCAGTTAACAAGCAGCAGCAGCAGTTAACAAGCAGCAGCAGCAGCAGCAAGCAAGCAGCAAACAAGCAGCAAACAAGCAGCAAGCCAGGAGCAAACCAGCAGCAAACCAGCAGCAAACCAGCAGCAAGCCAGCAGCAAGCCAGCAGCAAACAAGCAGCAAACAAGCAGCAAACAAGCAGCAAGCCAG